GTGTGTGTGTGTGTGTGTGTGTGTGTGTGTGTGTGTGTGTGTGTGTGTGTTGAGTGTACGTGCTGCTGTCTTCTCCTTTCTGGAGGCTGTCCTGTCAAAGGCCTTTCAGATAGGCAACCAAGGCACATGAACATGTGTTCTCAGATCCAGGCTACTTAACCATTGGTTTGCATAAATGGAGTGGACCCTGTCATCCCTCCCTGCCTTCCTCCCTCCCCACCTTCATCCCTCATCAGGTTAGTCAGAAAAATTATTATTATTGTACCACTCTAAGTTCATTTTACGAATATTACTTTCTAAACCACACTCTCATTTGTTTTCTCTTTTTTTCCCCTTCTGTCAACCCTAGGGGCAGGTAAAGGCAGATAAAGTTCATATTTTAAGGCCGGGCGCGGTGGCTCAAGCCTGTAATCCCAGCACTTTGGGAGGCCGAGGCGGGTGGATCACGAGGTCAAGAGATCGAGACCATCCTGGTCAACATGGTGAAACCCCGTCTCTACTAAAAAATACAAAAAAAAAAAAATTAGCTGGGCATGGTGGCGCGTGCCTGTAATCCCAGCTACTCAGGAGGCTGAGGCAGGAGAATTGCCTGAACCCAGGAGGCGGAGGTTGCGGTGAGCCGAGATCGCGCCATTGCACTCCAGCCTGGGTAACAAGAGCGAAACTCCGTCTCAAAAAAAAAAAAAAAAAAAAGTTCATATTTTATAGATTAAAAACTAGGGAAGCTAGAAGAGAAATAAACTCCAGTTTATGGAGTTTCAACTTCCTGTTGTTTTCATAGGCCCGGATGACCTTTTGTGAAGACTCAGATGCAGGTTCCTGGTTACAGTAATAGCACCATGGCAGGCATTTTATCATCAGCTCTTTTAATCTCCCAAATTATTTGATATGTGTTTGTTCTAAGTTGAGATCTAGAGCTATCGTTATGCAGTGACATCAGAACTCGGACCCAAGCCTTAATAACTCTAAAGCCCATGTCTTTCGTTCTGCCATTGACCTGACCCTATCTCTGATTAAGTTGCTTCTAAAACATGCCAGAGAGTGACCAAAGAGACTGAAGCCATATTTTACCTTCAGCCCAAACCCTACATACTGCTAGGCTGCCACTCAGAAAATAGAAAAGATCAATTTAACGGTGATTTATATAAGCTAGAAACAAGTTGTGTGCCTGAATATTCACGATTCCCCTCTGCTTCACTCCCTCCATCTTAATGCACCTTTTAGGTTTCCTTAACAATAGCAGTTTTAACATTGCTTTTAATTAGATGAATTAAAAATGTTCTCTGATGTTATCACCCCCTCCCGCCCCCCTATCACCTCCAATTCCCCATTGCTGTGAGAGCACTGTGATTTCCATGGTAACGGGACTACCAGCCAAGGTTGACGCTCGCTGGTGGGTCTGGTCAGAGGAAGTTTATGGGCAGTCTTTCCTGGTATGGTGGGCTGTATGGGGCTTTCCAGGGAGTTAATTTAAAAGCAATGAAGTTAGCTAAAAGGCTCTACAGAGAGCACATTATTAGAGCCATAGAGCCCCCTAGTATTTCTTAAAAGAGACCTAGCTCTCCCCAAAAATAAGACAATCCCATCTCTCCTGCTATCCCAAGTTTTCAGACATAAGAGTCATCTGGTTCCCAGCCTAACCACCTCCTTTCCGCCCTGTAATTTGTTTCTCTCTGGATTTTGTTATTCTTGGTAACAAATTGTTTCTCCTCCCTTTCTCTTTTTTCCCCTCTTTTCCTCTACCTAGAGAGTTTTCAACGTCCTTTACCCCATGCCTGCCGACCAGCGGAGACATGTCAGCATCAACTCTGCCCGTTGGCTGCCTGAGCCAGGGCTCGGCCTGGCCTATGGTACTAACAAAGGAGACCTGGTGATCTGCCGACCAGAGTAAGTGGCTCCAAGTGTGGGGGTTGAGGGATCACTGGGGCTGAGGACATAATCAGTATTCACCAGTGGACTTGGTCAGCCAGCTGGGATCTTTTAGATGGGAAACGTCAATCCATCTAGAGACCACCTCATTCTCAGCGCCACTCCTTAAAGGGCCCTCTTCCCACAGAGGCTGGTGGGATTAGCTCCCCGTTCCACATTTCATCCAGAGACTGATTTAGTGATCTTGTTTTCTTGAATCTAAAGGCAGTATTTTTTTTTCTTTTCTTTTCCCTTGTTCTCTGGTTTCCTAGTGATACTAAAGTTTGCCTGCAGGCAAAAGCACAGATATCAAAGATTCATTTTTAAACCCTGTTAGAAAGATTCAACAGGTGGTCTTGGGTTTGGGTAAATGCCGTAGACTTTTGAAAAGAATTGGAAACAGGTACTGTTAAAACCCTAAAGTGTTGGCTGGGCACGGTGGCTCACACCTGTAATCCCAGCACTTTGGGAGGCTGAGGTGGGCAGGTCACAAGGTCAGGAGTTCAAGACCAGCCTGGCCAATGTGGTAAAACCCTGTCTCTACTAAAACTACAAAAGTTAGCCGGGTGTGGTGGCATGCGCCTGTAGTTCCAGCTACTCAGGAGGCTGAGGCAGAAGAATCACTTGAACGTGGGAGGCGGTGGTTGCAGTGAGCCGAGATTGCGTCACTGCACTCCAGCCTGGCAATAGAGCGAGACTCCGTCTCAAAAAAAAAAAACAAAAAAAAAAACAAACCTAATTTGTTAAGCCACTGATCTCTAATAGCCTGATTCCATCTTGCCTGTTTTCCTTTCTGCTGGGAGCGCTAGCTTACGCTGGTAAAAACAGATTGAAAAGCTCAATTTACAGTCAAAGCAGCTGTTATCTGGTCTTGAAGTAGGAAGTAGGAGGGGATTTGTGTCTGAAGTCCTGATGACATCCCTTCCCCTTCTTCTGGCTTTCTGGAGGCTAAAGGTTTCTCCAGGTATCCATTCACTAGAGAGTCTGGGAGTCAGCCAGGTCTGTCATCAGTTTCCAGCCCCAGCCAGGTGGAGAGTGTGACGCTCTGTGCTTCACTGCAGATCAGGCTGATTGCTGTGTGGGACGCTGCAAGGTTCCAGCCGACTAAATGCCACTTCTGCCTCCAGGCTGTCCTAATGTTGACCTCGACTTGGTGCAGTCTTTTCCCAGAGTGTTCTGTAGGTCACAGAGTGTGGTGTGACAGTTCCAGCAGGGTGGTTATCGGAAGTCTCTGTGTTGCCTATTGATGGGACCCTTGATAGTTTCTCCTAAAGGATGTATTTGGGTCAGTTCCTATCATCGGGTAGGGGACTGGTGATTGAACCCTTGTTGACTGAGTTAGGTTGGTGGCCCAGGGGGTAAGGAAACGTTGTTCTTAGGGCAGCTCTTGCATGCCATCTTGAATTTTTGGAGCCCCTTCCAATGAGAGACTGCTGTCTAAGCCTAGCCTGGTCAGGCTGCACTTGGAGCTGCAAGAATGTTTTGTGTTGCAAGCCACTTGCTCCAGAGAACATCTTTCACCATCTCCAGAGTGTCCAGAGAGCATTTTCATTATCTCCTTGGGTGTCTCCGTTTCTGCCCTTCCTCTGGCCTGTCCCTAGTCCCAGGATCTGTCCTGAAATATTCCTTTTCCCCAAAGCACATGACGTTGATTGTCTTAAGCTCTTTCTCTTAAGAATTCATAAGAGGTGGTGGCTCACACCTGTAATCCAAGCACTTTGGAGGCCAAGGCGGGCAGATCACCTGAGGTCGGGAGTTCAAGACCAGCCTGACCAACATGGCGAAAACTCGTCTTAAAAAAAAAAAAAAAAGAATTCATAAGAGAAATCCAATAGGCATCTTTTCCAAAACTGGCACAGAATTCTGGATTATAATTCTACTCTTAGCAACACTTACTTCAGTTGTAGGCCTTTGTTTCCCTGTTTGTCTGAGACCTCTTTCCTCAGCAGTGTGGAGTGTGCTTTTGTCTGTGGCTTCCACCACTAACTTTTGTCCCAGCCAAATTTCTAGTCCTCTTCCTCGCAAAAATGATCTACACCCAGTTTGTTGTGGCTTCACGAAGGTTTTTATATCTGAAACCCAGCCTGCCTACTTCGTATCAGTCACGGTCACCTCAGCCAAATATGAAGCTGCCTTTGGCTTCTGTTTTCTCTTTTCTCCCCATATGTTGTCTTCAGCATCCCAGAGTCTCAGCCCACCTAAGCCATCTTGGGCTGCCTGGGAAACTCTAACCCACCAGGAATTCAAGCCTCTTCCCTGAGTAAGATGGCACTGGCATTGGACACATTCAACAGTGTCCCGTCACAGACCAAGTTGTGTTGGACTGAGAGAAAACTAGTTTAGCCCATCTTTATTTATTTATTTATTATTTATAGATGGAGTCTCCCTGTGTTGCCAGGTTGGAGTGCAGTGGAGCGATCTTGGCTCACTGCAACCTCCGCCTCCTGGGTTCAGGCAGTTCCACTGCCTCAGCCTCCCAAGTAGCTGGAACTATAGGCGCGCACCACCATGCCCAACTATTTTTTTGTATTTTGGTAGAGACAGGGTTTCACCATGTTGGCCAGGATGGTCTCGATCTCCTGATCTCGTGATTCACCCGTCTCAGCATCCCAAAGTGCTGGGATTACAGGTGAGAGCCACTGCGCCCGGCCTGGCCCATCTATTTTGGTTGCTTTTTCTCCTGACTTCTTGGGTCAGGTTGGCAAATGCCTTAGGGCCAGAAATTTAAGGGTACTATATAAATTTGACATGGACATGACTTAAGTTCTTCAAAGCTTAGGCAAGGAAGACTGTGAACAGTATACACTTAAGGAAGTGAAGACTCCCCCGAGGCCTCCTAACAGACCGATGACAGAACTAGACTTCCTAACTTTCCTATCCAGAGCCCTTTTCACTCAAAACCCCTTTAAAATCCTGATGAAAGCAATATACTGTCTTCGACAGAAAGATATGCCATACTTTTAACTCTTTAAGACCTCAGGTAAAGAATGCAGCTTTAGGTTGTGTTGAGACATTTTAGCAGGTCAGGCATGGATGCAGGGGGAATGAGAGGATCGGTGAGCACATTCGTGTCTGTTGAGCCGTCTGCAGTTGAGTGGCTGCCGGTCTCAAATGAGGAGAACAAATAGGGAAGTAGCAGCTCAGGCTTCTTGTGTTTCTCATAGGCAGCTGCCTATCCCTGGGTGATACAGCTCCCTGGCACACCCTTTCCCAAGGGCACAGGATCCAGCCAGCCAGCTGGGCCAAGATTGCAGCCCTCCCTCTGAAACAGGTGGCTGTCTGCCTTTGTCCCAGGCACAGGCAGCTGCACCCCATTTTGTGCTCTCAATACTGCTCTTGATTTCTCCTCCATTGTTTTCGCCTCAGCACTCTCTCCTAGCACAAAGGCAGAGGAACAAGCTCCTTGGGCATCTCTTAGTGGTACTAAAAATCCCCATTTGGCAGTAGACGAAGGTCTTCGAAATCTTCCATCTCTCCAGGGGAAGGAATTCTTAGGGCAGGCAAGAAGACAAACAACTGGCCAGTCAGCCCCTCTACAAAGCCAACCCCGGGGCCGATAGCGTAGTCACCCCGCCCTTCCTGGCAGTGAGGCGCTCCCTCCTCCTTTGCTCCCCTATCCACACTCTGTCCAAAGCTGCTGCTATGCCTCTGGCTGCCTGTCAGCCAGCCAGCACCCCCACTGATAACCGTGGGGGGTGTGGATTGCCAGGTTGACATGAGGGGGTTCTTGCTTATTACGGCTTCATAAACCAGCCCTAAAAAAGGGGCAGGGGGAGATGCTGGCAGGAAGACCACTGCTTCTGACAATCAGCTCAGAGGACAGAATCAGGGGACTCATAGCAGAAGAGAGGTCAGCTGAGACTATGGGGCATCTGGCTCATTGGCCAACTATGGGGCTCCTGACAAGGCCCCAGCTCTGTCCCTTCTGTAATCATGGTAATTATAGTCAAGTCTCATCACCCAGGGAGGGAAAGGCATGCCTCTGAATCAAAAGGGAGCCAGAATTGCTGCGGAAACCACATCTTTCAGGCGAGACTTTAAGAGCCAGGTGCCGGCTCTTTCCCGCGTTGCAGAGGCACCAGGCATCTTTGGTCTGATCCTCTGCAGTGATGTCACTGATAGATGAAAGAAGAATGTTATCCAAGGGAATAGTCTCTAGCAGTTGGGAAGTTCAGAGACAGAAGTTCTGTGAAGGGAGCATCATGACCACTGAGGGAGCTCATGTCTGTTCAAGGAGCCCTGGAAGGTGTCAGCATGAGGAAGTTGCTGAGCCAGGCCCAGAAGCACAGCTTCCAGATGCTGTGGAGGAAGCCAGGTGTGAGGTGGAAGCCCACTGGAAGAGGCTGGCCCTGATTGGACCTTCCACCCTCCCTCCTTCCTTCGTGTGTTTGTCTAGCTCCCAGGAAGAACCCAGAGCAAACAGTGACTCATTCACCCTCACTGAGACCCAAGAAGACACCAGGACATGTTGGGATCATTGTTTAGCTCACAGACAGTCAGTGACACTGGGTATTGAAAGCTAAGGGTTTCAGGCCAGGCATGGTGGCTCATCCCTGTAATCCCAGCACTTTGGGAGGCCGAGGTGGGTGGATCACCTGAGGTCAGGAGTTCAAGCCCAGCCTGACCAACATGGTGAAACCCCATCTCTACTAAAAATGCAAAAATTAGTTGGGAGCGGTGGCAGGTGCCTATAATCTCAGCTACTCCAGAGGCTGAGGCAGGAGAATTGCTTGAACCTGGGAGGCAGAGGTTACAGTGAGCTGAGATCATGCCATTGCACTCCAGCCTAGGCAACAGTGCAAAACTCTGTCTCAGAAGAAGAAAAAAAAAATCTAAGAGTTTCAGTAGTCAGAGAGGGTATCTTCAACTCTATTTGTTGGTACAGTGCCTGGACTTTAAACCAAATCCATGATCTCATTGTAGTCTAGCTCTGTGACCACAGAAAGTAAAGCAAATCCAGGCTTAGAATTGCAGAAAGGATTGGGATGGGGGAGGGATAGTGGTGCAGCACATCTGAGGCAGGAAGTACGGCCCCTGTTCTATTGGCTGTGAACCTCTTCAGTTAGTAGCCTGGAGCCAATGATGCTTGGTGCTGCTGCCTGGATGGAAAGCATTCGAGGGGACCCTTTGGCCACCAGCATCATGTTGACAGTCCCAGCTCAGACAGCAGACCTTCTTGTGGCCTCTTTTCTGAGACAGGAAGGAAGGTTCTGGGTCAGGAAGTACATGGTTTGTTGTAGGTCTGATGTGAACAGTTTGTTGTCACTAACCAGCCCTGGCTAGCAAGAATTCCAGGACAGGGATTTGGCGGGGACCCATGTGGTATTGCAACCTGTCAATAAATCTTGACAAGTTTGTAAATCAGTCTTCCTGGCAGCTGGCTTCACGTAGTGTCTAACACAGACAGGATTTGCTCACCAAAAACAGTAATGAGTTTGCCTTTGGAGGCCTCTGCTGTTACTTCTGGCCATTTGCCTCTTTTGTGATGTAAGGCAGCCTTTTCTCACCTTTGCCCTCCAGTGCCCATCTGGTTCTCAGACAATCCTCAAACCCCACAAAAATTGCTATTTAGAAGAGGAAGGATAAACAGTTGGCCCTTGATATCTGCAGGTTCCACATTCATGGATTCAACCAACCATGAACCAAAAATATTTGGGGGGAAAAAACAGTGAAAATTAACAATACAATAACAAGTGTGGGAGTGGTGGCTCACACCTGTAATCCCAGCACTTTGGGAGGCTGATGTGGGCAGATTTTTTAGCCCAGAAGTTCAAGACCAGCCTGGGCAACATGGTGAAACCCTGTCTGTACAAAACAACAACAACAAAAACTAGCCATGTGTGTGAGGCACACCTGTAGTACAGCTACTCGGGAGACTGCAGTAGGAGAATCACCTGAACCTGGAGAAGTCAGGGCTGTAGTGAGTCATGATCATACCACTGCAATTCAGACTGGGCAACAAAGTGAGACCCTGTCTCAAAAACAAAAGAATACAAATAAACAATAATACAGTATAATAACTATTTGCATAGCATTTACATTGTATTAGGTAGTGCAAGTAATCTAGAGATGATTCTCAGTATACAGAAGGATGTGGATAGGTTGTGTATCAGGGACTTGAGCATCCATAGATTTTGGTATCCACAGAGGGTCTTGGAACCAATTCCCATAGTTATCAAGGGACAGCTATACTGCTTTTTAAAGAGGTGGCCTTTGGAATTAACACCAAATCCTCAGCCTGACAGGCCCCTTAAAAGAAGCCGGGAGAGGTTTACTCCAGGGCAGTGAAAGGAAGGGCACTTTTGTTTGGCCATGGCTCTTTCCCTTCAAAGAGGCAAGTAGGATTCCCTTACGTGAAGCCTAACCATAGTTACCCTCTAAAGATAGATTTGGGCCAGGCATGGTGACTCACACCTGTAATCCCAGCACTTTGGGAGGCCGAGGTGGGAGGTTCGTTTGAACCCAGGAGTTCAAGACCAGCCTGGGCAACATAGTGAGACCCATCTCAAAAAATAAAAATAAAATTTAAAAAGACAGATTTGGGCTGGGCACAGTGGCTCATACCTGTAATCCCAGCACTTTGGTAAGCCAAGGCGGGCAGATCACTTTAGGTGAGGAGTTCAAGACCAGCCTGGCCAACATGGTAAAACCACATCCCTAATAAAAATACAAAAATGTTTAGGCATGGTGGCGCACACCTGTAATCTCAGCTACTCGGGAGGCTGAGGCAGGAGATCGCTTGAACCCAGACAGAAGTTGCAGTGAGCTGAGATCACGCCACTGCACTCCAGCCTGGGCATCAGAGTGAAACTCCATCTCAGAAAAAAAGACAGTTATGGAGGCTCAGTGCCTGCCCCTGTTGCCTTTTACCTGAGGCAGCACAGCCTCCTGAGACCTCCTGGGACTCAGTCCCTCATCATCCAGGCCCTGCCTGGTGTCTGTCCTAGCCAACCCCCATGTTTAGGAGAGGAAGCCCCTCCCAGCATCCTGTAATCCACTCATTCACTTGGGTATGTTTGCTCTTGATGGAGGTAAATTCTGTTGTTAAAGGAGGGTGACCTAGGCCTCTAGGTTAAACAGCTGACTTCTGGTGGAGTTTGTCTTCCTCTGCTCAGGCTGCCCCAGGGGCGAGAGCCTGCACTGTCTGTTTCTGAGGCCTCTGCTTTTCAAGACTAGGCATGCCTGTTGGGCAGGGCTGTCCATGGCTCTATGTCTCTCCAGTGGGCCTCACTCCAGCCCCACATTTCCCATCTTAGTTTCTTTCTCTCTGTCTGAAGAATACCGAGGACCCACTGCCTATATCTTTTGTTGCTATTTTTTTAGCTGTCTCTTAGCCCCAAGGAGGAACTAGTTAGGCTTGTTAGGGGGAAGGGAGAGGCTAAACCCACCATTCCAGGCATTTGGGCTATTAGAGATTTGTCTGAATTGCTCCAGCATTGAACATACAAAGCAGCACCTCTGGTCTTGGTCTCAGCTCAGCCCCAGGAGAGAGAGGATGGGCAGCCAAGGTCCACAAAGCCAGGAGTTTCAGGAGCTCTTAACCTTCCCTCTCTAATGCCTTTCACCTTCTACACCCTTCCCAACTGATTTCCAGGGCCTTAAACTCTGGTGTTGAGTACTACTGGGACCAGCTGAACGAGACGGTCTTCACTGTCCATTCCAGCAGCAGGAGCAGTGAGCGGCCTGGGTATGTTTGGGAAGTAGGTGGGGAGCAGCTGGCTGGAGGCCCGTCCCTTCCTCCTGCTTTTGATGGGCTCTAAAGTATCGCCCATCAGACTGTGCTCTAAGGCCCTGGGTCCGTCCTCAACCTGAGCAGCACCTCTTTGATTTTTGGTGTACAGTTTAATTTGAGAAAAGTGTTGTATGGCTAAAAAAGCAAACAAAAGCTCTGCTCTAAGAGTCTTGCTGTAGAACCACCCCCTGGCCCTCTCCCATCCTGGCCGTGGTGTCTGGGCACACTTGGGATGAGCAGAGAAGTTAGGGCACTGGAGAAAGGTGCTGCCCCCATGAAGTCTGATCCATGGCCCAGGATCTCCTACATGATCAGGGCCCCAGGGCTGTAGCCCCAGGGACAAATCCTCTCGAGGCACCCATTAGTAGAAATCTGGTACTGATACTTTAATCACTTAATTCACTAATGAAGACTGGAACAAAGTGCTGGGTTGTTGATAAACCCAAAGCAATCACTACTTCCCATAGGAATTGCTGGGCATAGCTGGAGGAACAGTTCCAGAAGCAGCTAGATATACGAGTGTCTGGTGATAGTCTCAAAAGCCCTGCGCTGCCTCTGCCTCCAGCTCCAGCTTTTCCAAGGCAGTACCTGCAAAATGCCCATGAAAAGGGGATGCTAGCATTGGCCCCTGAACCTTCCTTGTAGGACAGCCTGTGTTCCCTACCTGCAAGTGTCTATTTTCAGAAGGCCCTGGAAGGAAGATCCCAGGACAGCCTCATGAGAGTTTCAGTCCTTTTCCTTCCAAAGTGGAGCTCTCAGTTCACTTGGAAAATAAAGAATTCAGAGTAGAATCTTGTCAGCATGCAATTGGAAGGAAGGTAAAGCTGAAGAGAGAAAGGACCTTCCAGATCACTCTTTATCCCATGATCTCAGCTAGTGGCCTCCTGAATTTCATTAAGTGTCTTTTCAGATCAGCCATCTCTACAACTCCTCCCCACTCCCCGGCAGAGGCCTATTGTTGAAGGGCAAAACTGAGCAAGCTGGAGTTGCAAGATTGGATGGTTCTGTGGCCTTCCATTGTCCCAGGGTATGGACTAACCTTGGGGGAGAATGGACACAGACGAGTTAACTGCCATCAGGGAGTAGTTGCAGGAACACAGGGCATCTCTTAGCCTGCAGGCCCTGCCCCACCTTCTGCCCTGAGGATTGGCACAGAGCCAGCAGAGTGCTGTGAGGGGCGCTGCCCCAAGCCCAAGCCCTGCCTGACTTCAGTCCGCCTTTCTCTCCCTAGAACCAGCAGAGCCACATGGAGGACAGACAGAGATATGGGGCTGATGAACGCCATTGGGCTGCAGCCCCGGAACCCTACCACCTCAGTGACATCTCAGGGCACCCAGACTCTGGCCCTTCAGCTGCAGAATGCTGAAACACAGACTGAGAGGGAGGTGCCGGAGCCAGGGACAGCCGCCTCGGGTCCCGGTGAAGGTAGGAGCCATGTGGCGCTGGAGAGGGAGGTCTGACAAAGGGTGGGAGAGGGACGCTAAGGTCGCCCAGCCCCTCCGCCTGGACAGTTCATGCCGCATGAGTGCCACTTCCCACTCGGAATGCATACCTCCTCCCAAGTCTGGGTGATGCCCACCTGCTGGCATTAAAAGCTCCTCAGCAGCGACATTGTTTCCCTGAGCTGGGTCACTCTTGCTGCTTGTCAGCTCCCACCAAGTACCCTGACCTTCCTCTCTAAAATGTGGAGGACCCAGGCTCTTCTTCCAAAGAGAGAGCGCAGAAAGCCTGGATTGAAGGGGCTAAAGGGAGATTTGCTGCTGCTCCAGAGGCGTCCCAGAGGCCTTAGGCTTCTGGGACCAACCCACAGCCTAGCTTGTGTCCCCTACCAGTTGTGCAGATTTGAGACTGTCTCATGGGAGGTCCGCACACACTCCTGTCACACCTGGGGCTGGTGGCCATTTTGGCTGCAGCCTGGCATATCATCGGCCACTTCTTCTCACCTATTTCAGGTGTGGCTCAGCCATGCTTGGCCCTGACTCTCTGTGCTGGCCTCACACTTTTAAAAACCAATTAGCACTTCCCAGCAGCAGAGCTCAAGCCACTTAGGAGTCCGTCAGCAGCTGTGTTAAACAGGCTGTTCTCACTCAGTTGCTGTCCTCACTCCTACCCCCAGCCCCCTTGCTGGTCCTAGCTCCAAACAAAGCAGCCTCCAAATAGACACATGTTTCTAAGTCTGTGTTGAGCCATTTTCCCAGAAGACACCATGGGACGAAAAGCCATGGTGCATGTCAGGCAAAGAATAACAAATGTGCCTATCACCCCAGGGAACAGCTTTCTACACTGCAGTCCCCCACAGGGTCTTGCACGGTCCCTCCCAATGTCATGAACTGAGAATTTTCAAAACGAGATTCCCCTTTGGTCTGTGGCACAGCCCACCTCCTGCATCTGTGCTGGGTGGAAGCCCCTCGCTGGGGCCATGACTATGAGGCGGTGCTGGCTGGAAGAGCCAACCTCAGCTGTGAGCCTCCAGGAGGAAGTGGTGGAAGGCTCTTTCTGCCATCTTCAGGCCCTTTTTTGCAGGTTTCTGTGGACTCTGAGCTGCTGTAGAGTCCACTAGGCCTATTCTAGGAAGTCTGAGGGCCAGGAAACAGGGAACCACCACAGGCTTCTCCCATGGAGCCAGCCTCTCTCAGCAGGCGGCAGCCTCTCAAGAGCTCCCAGTAAACCCTGACAGCGGGAGGGGTTTGGAGAAGTGGGCCATACTCTTAGATCACCCCTTCCTTTTTTTTTTTGTTTTTTTTTGAGATGGAGTCTCTCTGTGTCACCAGTCTGGAGTGCAGTGGCGTGATCTCGGCTCACTGCAGCCTCCGCCTTCCGGGTTCAAGCAGTTCTCCTGCCTCAGCCTCCTGGGTAGCCGGGACTACAGGCATACACCACCATGCCCAGCTCATTCTTCTATTTTCAGTAGAGATGGTGTTTCACCATGTTGGCCAGGATGGTCTTGATATCTTCACCTCATGATCCACCCACTTTGGCCTCCCAAAGTGTTGGGATTACAGGCATGAGCAACTGCACCTGGCCCTTTTTTATTTTTTTTTTAGATGGAGTCTCACTCTATCACTTAGGCTGGAATACAGTGGTACAATCTCATCTCACTGCAACCTCTGCCTCCTGGGTTCAAGCAATTCTCTGTGTCTCAGCCTCCCAAATAGTTGGGATTACAGGCACCTGCCACCACTCCCAGCAAATTTTTGTATTTTTTGGTGGAGATGGGGTTTCACCATGTTGGTCAGTCTGGTCTTGAACTCCTGACCTCAAGTGATCCGCCCGCCTCAGCCTCCCAAAGTGCTGGGATTACAGGTGTGAGCCACCGCACCCAGCCAGCCCCTTATGTATGTATACAGCAGTCACTGAAAGAGAGTGTTGTTTTGTTTTGTTTTAGGCTGGTCTTGAACTCCTGATCTTGATCCTCCCACCTTGGTGTTTTTTTTTTTTTTTTCTTTTTTTAATTTAAAGACAGTCTCAGCTGAGTGTTTGGCTCACACCTGTAATCCCAGCACTTTGGGAGGCCAAGGCAGGTGGTTCACTTGACGTCAGGAGTTAAAGACCAACCTGGCCAACATGGTGAAACCCTGTGTCTCTACTAAAAATACAAAATTAGCCAGGCATGGTAACGGGTGCCTGTAATCCCAGCTACTGAGGGGGCTGAGGCAGGAGAATCTCTTGAATCCAGGAGGAAGGGGGTTGCAATGAGCCAAGATCATGCCACTGCACTCCAGCCTGGGCAATAAAGCAAGACTTCGTATCCCCCCCCCAAAAAAAAAAGAAAATTTGGCTGTGAACCAAAATAATAATAATAATAATGACAGAATCGCAGCTGGGCATGCTAGCTCACACCTGTAGTCCCAGCACTTTGGGAGGCCAAGGCAGGAGGATCTCCTGAGTTCAAGACCAGCCTAGGTAACACAGTAAAACACCATCTCTACTAAATATATAAAAAATTAGCTGGGCATGGTGACACGCATCTGTAGTCCCAGCTATTCTGGAGGCTTGAGGCGGGAAGATCACTTGAGCCTGGAAGGTTGCGACTGCAGTGAGCCATGATCGTGCTACTGCATTCCAGCCTGGGAGACAGAGTGAGACCCTGTCTCAAATATAAATAAATAAAATAAAGATAGTGTCTCTGTCACTTAGGCTGGAGTACAGTGGTGCCATCATGGCTCACTGCAGTCCTGAACTCCTAGGCCCAAGCAGTCTTCCTGCGTCAGCCTCCTGACTAGCAGGGACTACAGGTTCACACCACCACACCTGGCTTTTTTTTTTTTTTTTTTTTTTTAATAGAGACAGGGTCTCACCATGTTGCACAGGCTGATCTTGAACTCCTGGTTTCAAGGAAGCTTCCTTCTTGGCCTCCCAGAGTGCTGGAATTACAGGCATGAAGCATTACACCCAGCCAGGCATTCCTTTCTGGTTTGATTTCACCGAGTTTTAACCATGTGTCAGCCACTTGGGCTGTGAAGACAAATAGGCCACTCTGTCTTTCCCTGGGGAGCTTGCAGTTTAGAGAGGAAGATGGGCGCCTAAGCCGAGCATTGCTTTGGTTTGATGAGGACCTCTGGAGCACAGAGGAGGAGGGGCTGTGCCCAGCCTGTGCAGTTTAGGGGAGGCTCCTGGAGGAGGTGGCCCTGAGCCTAGTGTTCAAGGATGAATAGGAGTCAGGTGAAATAGGGTGGTGGGGAAGCATTCCTGGAGACATATCTCAGCACATGCAATGGCCCCAAGTTCAAAGACATGTCACTCTGCAGAAAGGACCACTAGTTTGTGCTCATGGCATGTCTGGTGCATGTTGAAAACTCAGGATGGATGAAGGGGAGGACAGGTTACTGGGACTGGGCTGGGAGCGAGGCCTTCAGCCTGAAGCTGATGTGCCAGGCTCTGGGAGCAGGAGGTGCCACCTTCAGAAGTATGTCCGCTGGTGCTTCACCTCCTAGAGAATTCTCTGCTTTTTTCTTGGTTAGCATGCAGCCCATTTCCGGCTTTTAGTCGATTATAAGTTCCTTTTCTTCTTTTTGGGGCATGGGGGCAGAGGGAACGAGCACTTTTTCCTGGTTTTAGGAGGCAGGACCTGGTTCTTTGCCCCACTGTCCCCTCCTCCTGTAAGTTAGAGTGGGTGGTAGAGGATGGTCCCAGCTAAGGTCAGCCAGAGCAGCAGGCAGAGTGAGGCCGGGCAGCTGGCTGCTTTTGCCTGCCTGCATCCCTGCGTGCTCTGCCTAGACCCTGCACTCCCAGCTCTTCCACACACCATGCCCCTTTCAGAAAGCAGTCAGGGCAGGGGAGGTGTGGGTTGAAGGGCATGGGCACTTGATTAATGGGTGTCAGCATCCAGCCTTGTCCCTCCTAGGATAAGGAGCCTTGTTCTGAGGCACTCACCACTACTCTGCTGTCAGACTCCGCAGGGGAGCCCAGGGATCAGGGCTCCCTTTGGGCCCAGATTTCCCCATGCAGAGGCAGGCAGGTTCTGTATTGACAAAACCAGAGCTGCAAGAACATTGATAGTGAAACCCTGCTCAGGGAGTTCAGGGCTGGGCTAGAAAGGAGATCCCACCTGCACTCACACCCGCTACAGGCACCAAGATTTGTTTTGTTTTTATTTTATTTTATTTTTCTTTTTTGAGACAAGATCTTGTTTTTCCATCCAGGCTGGAGTACAGTGACAGGAACACAGCTCACTGCAGCCTCGACCTCCTGAGTTCAAGGGATCCTCTCACCTCAGCCTCCTGGCACACACCACCACCTGGCTAATTTTGTTTTGTTTGTTTGTTGTAGAGACGGGGTCACACCATGTTGCCCAGGCTGGTCTCTTAACTCCTGGGCTCCAGTGATCCTCCATATCTTTCCATGCCTTCCAGGAAGAGTCCTGGGTATTTGCACGCATTGGCCTTTTTGCATGTTCAGTTTTAAGAAGAGTTTGACTTGTCCCAGAATTTGATCCTATAGCAAGTTTTCCTACACTGCTGGCCAAGAGGGTAGCTCTGAAAGGGAGGGAAGCATTTCCTGGGCTCACCATTGGCTTCCAGCACTGATACAGTGCTTGCCTAGCTTGCAGTGGGCATTCGGGGCAAGCGTGGAATGAATGAGTTGAGCTGAGTAAGGCCCTGCCTCTGAGCATGACTGTGCTGCACTGTTTGGGAGCACCATGGATGTGCCTCTGACCCATAGCAAAGGTCATCTGAGCCTCTGTTTTGTCTGAGGAAGATGGTAGGTAGACCAGCAGCAGTAGCATTGGGCCCTGGGCCAGGAAAAAGCAAATGTGAAGAGGGAGGGGCTGGAAGACCAGTACTCCCAGAGGTCAGGAAGGGCAGCTCCTCCTGTGACTCTCTGAGCCTCGGTTCCCTCTTCTGCTGCTCTGGCAGTGAAACCCCCAGAATATACTTACAGGGCATGATGGGAACTTGTTGATCTTACCCTGGCCTCTGCTTCTA